ATATCCCTTCTGAGATCCACCGGAAGGCTTTTGACAATGGATTCTTCGTCAACACCTCGAGTTGTCACCCACCTATACAAGTCATATTTACGCACCCTTTCCTTAAGATCGTGGGGGAGTTGGCGATGATGCATCCATTCTTCTGTGTCTGTCCTTTTGATCCTCCATTCTTCAAGTCTCATAGTAGTTGATTGAAGGAAAGTCTGGTATTGAAAATTTAGGCCATAGAAATGAAACATTTTCAGTACAAGTTTGGCTAAGATCGAAAACTAAGTCCCTTTATCGTTTAATGTATTTGTATATGACTTACCTGCATATTCCCAATAAGTAAAGCAAAGAGCAATAATCCCAGAATTGCAAGAACAACAGCAAAATTAATTTCATTAATGTCAGTAGTCGTCACAAGATTCTGCCCAAGAGAGCTGCAAAAGTTAATTAAAGAAAGTTAGCATTTAACCAAAGAAAAAGTTAATTAAACAAAGCTTTAGCTGCAGTTTGTTACCTTAGGTTCCTTAAACCCCACCAAAAACAGTAAGCATATTTGTTCAAGAATGAAGACTGTGTAACTCCAAAAGTCAGTGCATCGTTAAAGATTCCAAATTGGAAGAAGTCGCTGTTAGGACCACATAAACTAGATATATTGCTCCGTTCATACCAGGCGATTCTACTAGTAAAATCCTTCCTCTGACAGTCAAAATACCAATATTGGCAACCTGGTTGTTGTTGATCACAAACATTTTTCCAACACTGTTCTTGTCGTTCCACAGCAAAAAGGTACCAGCAAGAACCCATAACCTATAAAAGATAAATAGTCAAAATGGTGGCCAACTCAATGGTTGAGGCTTCATCAACAACAACAACCCAGTGGAATCGCATAGGTAGGGTTTGGGGAGGGTAATGTGTACACAGACCTTAACCCTTAACCTGGTTGAGGCTTGTCACAGAATAATGGAACTTGGTATTTAGTTAAATTGAAACAAGGAATTTGGTCTACTCTAAAACAAGTCGTATACTTACATGACTAGCGAGCATGAAGAGTACAAGGTTATAAACTGCCCCGGCCCATGCAGCTTCCACCATTACACCAGTAGTCTTGATAATGTGAGATGAAAGTGGAAAAATCAGGCATAGCCTCAACAAAAACTGAGAAATGATAGTAAAGCGCAAGGCGTGTTTTGCACCAATTCTATTCGAACCTCTCAAAGATGGGATTGCAGCCCAAATCAAAACCTGAAAACAGTTTTAGGACTAGTTTGGTCTGAGATAAGCAAGCATAGGTAGCAGAAAGTAGCATTTGATGTAACTTGTATAAGCCTAAACAACATGATATCTAGCAATTTATCAGTTCATTTCTGGCAATCAATATCCGAACAGAGGAAATACCAGCAGATTATAACGTTTCCTGCTCGAACTTTTAACAACCAAACATCATACGAATATGAGAAAAGACTACAATAGACTTAGAGGACTAGTTTATACCTGAGGAAGCGGAAGAGTAGCCAAGAGATCAAACCAAAAATCCTTCCGAAGATACCTTGAAGCGATCTTTGAAGAATCAATGACTAGCTCTCCTCGTCCAAAAACGCGAGAGGAAGGTGCAACATAAGCTGTTCGAAACTGAACTAAAATCTGAACCAAATAAAATGCATCTATTACTGATCGAACGATTGTAAGGACTATCTCCATAAGATAACTTGCATCCATGCAGATTTCGTCGCTAACACTTGGTAAATAGAAGAAGAGTGGATCAACAAATAGAGATGTAAGACAAGCAATTAAGAAACACTTGTTCCATATGTTTATGGGACGTCCTCGAGGATCTAATATCTTCATTTGAACCCCCTCATAGTCCTCTGAAAATACTCTTGAAAGCTTTTTCTTTCGGAACATCTTCATTTTTGGCTCTATTTCTGCCTTCTCCAACTTTGAATTAGACGTTTGTTCGTCATTCTTCGTAGAGATAGTTTTAAGAAATTTTGACGCCTTGTATGAACCAGATTTTGCAATGTCATGGTCATTCGGAAATCTGATTATGGATACAAGTTTTCATTAATAGCTAGAACAGAAAATTTGGTGCATAACTTAGACTCTAATGCATAAAGTACAGTATGCCTATATAGAAGAACTACTACAAAAATGAGCTGCAGTTTTATATAACAGAATACTACTATAAGATAAAAGTACTTTAGCCACAAATTTAAGGACTGCTCAGACATACCTGACAGATTTTTGCTTAGTAGAAGACATGGTGCTCTGGCTAAACTTTTCTTGACCTTAAAATTGGACTTTACCTGTGTAGGAGTGAAACAACAGAAATGTCAATAATGAACTGATTTACCTATAACATGGACATTGTTTAACTTCTGTTTCCTACTATATTGTTTTTCGCTTCGGTTTCCTAGTATCTTGCTGTTGTTACTGCTTGTTGCTATTGCTTCCTTGTGCCTATTTTTTTGGTTCTTAGATTGTTGTTATTATCTTTCTGGCCTTTGTGGTTGATATTGCTTGTTTTTATTGTTGATTTTCATCTTCTTGAGCTGCCGAAGGTCTACCGGAAGCAACGTCTCTCTCATTACCTATAAGGTATGCATACGTACTGCCCTTCCCAGACCCCTCCACTGGGTTAGTTTTTGTTGTTGTTGTATTGATATTGTTTAACTTATTACTGATGACATCTCTCTTTGAATACTGCTTAACTTGAGTAAATGTTGATAAATCCAATATTACATAAGTTACCGGCATTTCAGTAATACTTGTCAGATTATAATACAGTTAAACCAAACAGTTAAAATGTTAGTATTAAACAAAAACAAACGTTCCACTCTTATCCAAACATAGTATTCACAAAACAATACAGTACAAAACGACAACGACGGAAAACAGTGATTAAGAAGTACCTAGATATTACTTTGTGTGCTGCTTCAGTCATATCAAATATATTCTCCTTCATCCTCAACAGGCCATAGGATAGTTGCGAGACGACGGTGCACTTAGTAGTGATCATGAGTGGTGGTCTTAGCAGTCATATATTGTTTGAAAAATTAGTACTAAAAAACAGATGAAGGTATTTGTGGGGGAATATTGCAGCAACCTTGTATGTTAATTTGTAAGTTCTTTTTGTAGAAAACGACATTCTTTTGTGACCACAGTTATGGATTTTGAACAAGTTCTCATTGCTAAGAATCATGTGAAAGGACTAGATATTGAATATTTGCATGTCCAGTTGAAGGAATTTTGACTTGAAATTGAATTCACTTTAATTCTGTTTGATCTTCATTTATCTACATTTTCATAAAAAGACAAAGTAATGGATCCAACCTAGCTCCATTTTCAAACTATTATCTGGACATAGCATAAGTTGACAGTATCAATAGACTACTTAATTGTGACTCTAGAATACTCTATTGGAGTCAACGACAAGTGTTCTATTTGACTCAATTCCAAGGGATGAAAATACGTTCAAGCAGTGGCGAATCCAGGATTTTTACCAAGGGAATTCGAAATATTAAAAAGTAAACACAAGACAAGCCAAGGGGATTCAACGCTTTCACATGCTAGAGAAGAAATAGGGTAATAGTAGTATTTCTTACTCTTCCTTCTCTAAATTTATCTTATTTTTGAGTAGAAAAGCGAATAGGTTATATGATCCCATTTACACATTAGCGAGAGCATGAAGTAAGTAATTGCTCCTACTTACAATTTTAAATAAGGTTAAAACGAAAATGCTTCCAAGATTTCAACATTAGGTGAGTAATTAGTGAATATTATTCAGTTTGGACTCCTCGACTGGATTCGGAGTTTAAGATAATCGTTTGACTTTAGATATTAATGATAATTGCAAAACATTTAAAGCACTAGTTATAATCTTAGTTCGATTGGAATTTATATTTTTAATATATGGTCATAAAGGTCGTAAAGAATAATACAATGAATAGCTTCAAATGTAGATGAGATGACTTTAGAGAACACTTGTGTGACTTTAGATTGCCGAATATCGTGGAATGTGGATGTTGTCTACATCACACCCCTATGGGTGCGGTCCTTCTCTGGACCCTATGTAAATGCAAAATGCTTTGTGCACCCGACTGCCCTTTTATAGGACATCGTAGATCGGAAAATAATTGAGAGCAAAGATCAAATATGCAACCAATCCAGAATAATAAGTTTATTTGGACAGCCATTCCATCCATTTCCTAGCAAACTTGAAATACAAAACGTGGGAAATGACAAGAATACAGGGCCATTTGTTTAACCTAAGTGATATATATAATAAGTTGTTGTAAAGAGTGTGAGTAAATCTTTTCACTCCTGTAATGGTGTCATCTCAGTTATAGTAGCATTTTGAGCAAGAAATAGATTGCAAAATCCCCATGTTGCATATGGATAAGCAACACCATATCCCTGAATATAGTAACTTACATGCCTAAAATTAGCAAGTCAAATATTTAGCAAGTTTCACCAATGTCTTTTACCAAATTGAGATTCATAGCTTACCATTTAATTATACATATTACTACTTTTCACACAAGTAAAAATTTCAGGCCAAAACTCTCATAACCTTTTTGTTAGAAAAAAGGCACTCTTTAAGCTAAGTGAGTTTCTGTTGCATAGCTGCGACCACGCGAGCAGCAAGAACCATACCGGCTCAACTAGATTAGATAATACAGAGAGGAGGGGCAACTCACACACAGTACATGATAGCCCTCAGCCTGCCACGGTAACCACCACCACCTACGTTGCTCGGATCCTCCAAAAGTATCGTCAGACCCGTATTGGATCCAGAAATGAACAACTTTTGGGGGATCTGATACACACCCGATGGCATTTTTGAAAGATTCGAGCAACATGGATTACCATAGACCTAAAATGCAGACAGTCTGGGGCCTTACCTAGACAAGCAAAACCTGAATTGTGCTATGGATTCCTGCCCCAGCTGGTTAAGAAAATCCCTGCCCTTCAACATTTAGTGCAAGAAACATCAAAATTTTAAAGACCATTAATTGTTGTAGAGGCATAGGCACAATTAACACAATTTCTGCAAATTCATTGTACAACAAGAATGCTTCTCGCTAACATACATTTCAAAGAGTATCAAACTTTTCAACTGTCGTGTCCTTCAACAAGTGATGGATAGCATATTACAAGATCAAGAATTTTCCCTAGGCAATTTCAGAACATACATTATGAAAGCTAATTTACTTGAGAACTCTAGTTAGTCCAGAAGCAGAGAGTAACTCGTCCGCGCAACTTTGGGGTAGAAGTTGCAGATTTACTAACTCATCATTGTTGCAACTATCGTCATCTCCTGGACCCTGTCATGTAATTATACATCCTTATGAGCCGAAACATACCTTTTTGGTTTAACTATTGAAACTTAAATGTACGGTCAACTGCACTTGGATTACTAAGCACATGACAATGTGTAAATAGATATTGGTGCATCTCCAAGATGTGGATTCTCAAGGAGAAACTGCAAAAAGAGTTGAACATAAATGTTGTTTACCCCAAGCGTTTTCTCGGTCAAAAAGATGTTCGTTACAACCTTCAGAATTGACGCCTGGGAGGTCGAGCTTCAGCAGGGCTTACACGGATGGCCCTGCCATTGAGATCCTACACCACAAAGTTCAACATGTTAAGGCAAAGAAAGATCAATAAATAAGTAATACAGTATTGACTCGAAGCTCATTTTATTAGAAGGAATCAAAAAGAAAATTACAAAAAAGAATGTGAAACTCGTTTAATAATAAACAATGCAGCATACGAGAATCAGTTTTGATGGTAAATAACAGATCTATTATCATGCATATCTACTATTTATTTTTTTTGACAACCATGGTGTCGGGGCCAGCTTGCGCGAACCTCGACTAATTCCACGGGATACCTGCTATACCTACTACCTCCCACGCAACAGGTACCATGTAACTCTATCCACCAAAGATCACCTAGTGTTTTGCCTCCGCTGGGGTTTGAACCTGAGACCTCAAGTTCTAAACCCACTTCATTGACCACTAGGCTACACCGTTGCGTGCGATCTACATCATTATTTAGAAGACATATTTGGCAGGTAAGACTGATCCAGAAAGCAACAAGTAGGCAAATACCTAATTTTACATACAAGTATATGTGAAACCTAAACCAGGACACAAGATTAACCTGAACGGAAAATGCAACCGTGTGGAGACACATGTACATACAGAACATAAAGATAGATGCATAATTTAACTGAGTGACAAAATACTTACAACTCCGTCCAAGCTTTCAATGGCATTGTTGACCTCCTCAGCGGAACTGTATGTTACAAATCCGAAGCCCCTTGATCTACCGCTATCCCTATCATAGACTACTTTGGCATCCACAACCTTACCTTGCTCACTGAATAAGGTCTCGAGTGCATCTTGGTCAACACCCCATGCGAGGTTTCCTACGTAGACTCTGTTGGAGCTATCAAAACTTCCCCCACCCCTGCTGCCTCCACGGAAAGAAGAATTCTCCCTCTTCTCTGGTGGTGGCCCAGAATTCACCCTCAGAGCCCTCCCGTCAAGTTCCTGCCAAAAGATTCAAAACTTTTGCTGAGTGTCTAAACCAAAAAACTTTTGGATAAAGAAAGGATCACTAACAACAAGAAGTTTTAGCCTTTTAGGTTCCACAAATGATGGTTATGAGTAAGACTTGAAAATCATTTCATCAGCAAATTATTATAGGAACTCTGCGGTGTGACACCTTGCCAAAATGTTACCATCAAAAAGGAGTACTGATTTTCGGTTGAATCATTTAAATAACTGTAAACTGAACACAAAGAGTTCGATTTCAAAATATACATAAGATATCCAAGGCCATAGGAATTCAAGATTAAATATTTGAACATGTGCATTAGAGCAAAATTAACTGAGAAACACAACAAAGCAAAAGACTTTACATATCCATTAAATTGTTGACAGGCAGCTTCAACTTCCTCTTTTGAGGACATTGTCACAAAACCAAAACCTCTGCTTCTTCCTGTAAGCTTGTCATAGATAACCTGCAAAAGTTAACAGCTCCAATAAGTATACTTAAACCTCCCATTCAAACCATCACAACTTCCTGCGACGACATCCTAAGGCTATTTTTCCTAGTCATACTAAAAGATTATCCAGTAAGAACCTTCAACAGCCAAAATGTTCGGTTATTCAAACATTGACAAACAAAATTTCAACATAACAAGTCCATTAGCCTCACATAATCACTGTATATCTAAAAATCAAGAATCCAAAACGACTTCCTACTATAACACCTTAAGAACATTTTCTCTAGTCAAAAATAAAGATAATATAATAAGAACTTATTGAATTGTGAAAACCGTCCCATCTACAAGCTTAAGCTGTTAGGAAAGGATAGTTTTACTTGTAACTCTTACATATACAACACGTCCCCTTATGTGCAGGTATGCTCTATAACATGTTGAATTGTCTGAACCGCCTTATCTAAAGGGCAGCCCGGTGCACTAAGCTCCCGCTGTGCTCGGGCTCCGGGAAAGGGCCGGACCAAGGGTCTATTGTAAGCAATCTTACCCTACATTTCTATAAGAGGTTGTTTCCTCGGCTCGAACCCGTGACCTCCTGGTCACCTAGCGGCAACTTTACCTGTTACACCGGCTCCCCTTCCTGAACCGCCTTATCTAAAAGCTTAAATTGTTAGCTGAAGACACTTCTGCTTATTATTCTTAGATATAAGACACCTCCCCTTATGTACATGTCTACTCTTATAACATGTTGAATTGTGCTAACCGTCTCATCTAAAAGATTAAACTTTCAGAGATAACCACTTTAATTTATCATTTTTAGGTTTGCACAAACCTTAAGGGCTAAAAAATTTCAAAAGTCTAGTTACTCAAACAAAGCCAAACGAAACATCAAATTATCTAAAGTTACAAGCAAGAACGTGTAACAAGAAATTACCTCAACCATCTCAACATTACCAGCACGCTCAAAAAGCTCAGCAAGAGCAGCACTATCAGCACTAAAAGGCAAGTTACCGACAAAGATTTTAAGGTCAGGAGAGAAATTACGTTCTTCTTCTACACCATCATCACCATCTTCAACATCCTCAATTTGGTCAAAATCAGAAAGGGTAACCTTACGAACAAAACGAGAAGAAAAACAAGATGAAGAAGAAGATAAAGAAAGGTTTAGAGAAGAAGGAGGAAGGGAAAAGAAGGAGAGGGAAGTTGTCTGAGAAGTGGGTTTTGGTAGAGGAAGTGTTTGAGGTGTAAGGGAAAGGAAATGGAGGGAAGAAGCTGAGGAAGCCATTGAAGATAAGGTTTTGAAGCAAAAGAATTTGAAGATAGGCTTTTTTCTTTCTCTCTTGTTGTGGATGTAAGGAGGATACACTAGTGTCTATGGGGATATTTATGGCAGAGGAAATGTGATGTTTGATTGAAAGATATTTCGGGTCCATTGGTTGATCTTTTTTACTTTTGGGTTTTTAGGAGATAAGGTTTGATTTGCATCTATACCCGCATTTTGTGTCACGTTTTAACTTATGCCCGCTTTGCAAAAAAAATTGCAAGCGTACCCACTTTTTCGCATAACTTAAGCATACGGGGCTGAAGTAGCAAAGTCAATCACGCAAAACTTCAGCATTCTAGTAGCCGGGCCTGAAGTTCAGCTCTAGAGCTGAAGTTTTTGTTTTGTAACTGGCGACCCTCAGCTCTAGAGCTGAAGTTTTTTTTTGTAACTGGCGAACTTAAGCTCTAGAGCTGAAGTTTTTGTTTTTGTAACTGGCGAACTTCAGATCTAGAGCTGAAGTTTTTGTTTTGTAACTGGCGAAGTTTTTGTTTTTGTAACTGGCAAACTTTAGCTCTAGAGCTGAAGTTTTTGTTTTTCTAACTGGCGAACTTCAGCTCTAGAACTGAAGTTTTTGTTTTGTAACTGGCTTTGGAACTGTCGAACTTCAGCTCTAGAGCTGAAGTTTATATCGAAGGAAGTTTTTGTTTTGTATCTTGGGACAATCCTGAACATCCCAATCCTTTAATTTGATTAAAAAAAAAATAAGCTACTTAATTTGACTCACCAGTAGCAGCCACAGGGAGAAGACAGAAGAGAAGGGCAACGAAGGCTGTGTATTTAGCCATATCTAGCTTGTTTTCCTTTTAGATTTCTTGGTGAGGAAACTGACAACAGCAATGGTGATATTTATAGCATGGTATAGGCTCAACATTGTCAACTTAATTCATTCTTTGACTAATTCAAGCATTCACATCATTATTATGTACGTGAGAAAGTAAAAAGAATAAGTCTAGGTGATTCCTTCGATTCCCTATAAGATTATGAATTGGACGATGAGAACGAAGAAAGAAAGAAAGAAAGAAAGAAAGAAAGAAAGAAGAAGAAGAAGAAGAAGAAGAAGAAGAATGAGGAGGAGGAGGAGGAGAAGGAGGAGGAGAAAAGGGGGCTGAAGTTATTTTAAAAAGTGGGTACAAGTTAAAAGCTTTTAAAAAAATGGGTATAGGTTAAATGGGAGCGACCAAATAGGGCGCCCCGTGCAACTTCTACGGTTTTTCCTTTGAGAATTAAGAGAAACTTTCAGAAACCACTATGTTTTAGTAGTTATTAGCTAGTTGTAACTATCATTTACTATATTACTTCCTATAGCTATGTTTTTAGGTTTTTTAGAGTATATTCGATGTATTTAAGCTACTGTATTCATGAATACAGTAGCATTTCTAGGCGTGAAACAAGGGATTACAACTAGACAGATTTTTGTATTCGAGTGTATTCGACTGTATTCATGGCGTAAAATATGGGATTACAGCTGGACAGATTATTGTATTCGACTGTATTCACGGCATGAAACAGGGAATTACACTGTTTTTAAACGGAAAGTGAATCAATTAACATAATAGACCCCAAATATAACTCAACAAACTCAATTATAACACACAAATTTTGTATTTCTAGTTATAAAAAAGATTCTCAACCGAAAATACCCAAAAACATAGCAATCTTCAGAGAGATTAAATAATACATCTAAATACATAAATTATATTAATTAAAAAATAACATATGAATACATTCATGGAATATAGCGAGACAGCAAATACAATGAAATACATAGAATACAGTGGGATACATTGAAATACAATAAAAAAAAGACAATGAATACAATGAAATACATAGAATACAGCGAGATACATTGAATAATGAAAAAAAAGACAATGAGATACATTGAAATATATTAACAGAAAATTCAAGTTGCTCAGCCCCCAACGCCGTCGTCTTTGTTCAAGAACAACCCTAATGTCGTCTCGTTGAAGCAACATCAGTATCCAGTCCTCGCTCGCCGTCACCATTGCCTCAAGAGAAGACCACCAAAAGAAGGAAAAAAAAGGAATCTAACTACCATCAGATATCACAATGAAATTGTTTAACAACGAAAAGCTTTCCAGAACGAAGATGAATATTCTGAATCTCTAACACTACAACTCCTTGACCTACTTCAAGTTGCGCTTTATTGCATTTTGTCCTTCTATTATGTGTAATTTCCCGAGACATCTTACAAAGATGAAAACTAGAAAACTCAAGGTCATATATTTTGAGTTCCGTAAGGTAAACATACGGGTTGCCGACGATTAGCACGTAATTACCGGCGAAATAACGGGGGTTTTTGTTGATCCGATATGTTGCGTCAGAGAATGAGATTGGGAGGCTGAGGGCGGCCATATCAATGAATAACGGCCACGGTCGAAACGGTGACGGTGGCAATTGCTCTAGTGTCCGGCGGAGGAGAAGACATCGGGAAGTAGAGAGAGAGAGAGTGAGAATAGATATGGGGTAGGGGATATGAGAAATTTGGGGGGATATGAGAGAGAAAAATAATACAAAGCTTATTTTATGGCTTAAGGGTAGGAGGTGACCATAAATAGATATTTGGCTATATAAAATCAAAAGGTAGCTATGGAATATAATTTTTTAAAAGGGTATTTATTTAAAATAAATAAGGTATCAACCTTTGCTATAGGAGGTAACTAATCCGAGAATTAACTTGAATAGCCGCTTACCTGATCGCTTGAAAATAATTAACGAATATTTAATATATATATATATNATATATATATATATATATATATATATATATATATATATATATATATATATATATATATATAATTCTTTTATAGTTTATATATCGATTAGAAAAAGTAAATAGTAAATTTGATCAACTATTTGTGTAAAGATCCATTTTTTGGCAGGGGTTGGGTGGGAGGGGACGGGGGGTCAGGTCTAGTGTTATCTTCTTTGGTTTCCTATTTTTACTCTTTGTCCTCGGAGGCGTGTGTCAATTAAGGGTCCCATTGATGTTTTAAACTTCAATACCACACAAGAGGGGGGGGGGTGATTTTTGTGGTACCCTATTATAGAAGGACCTGGTTCTTCTATGTGTTCCAACTACTACTATTGCGGAATAATAAGTACAGAAAATAAAGAACACATAAATTTTACGTGGAAAACACCTAGCTCAAAAGGTGAAAAAACCACAACCTTCCAGTAGGATTTTTCCAAACTCTCCACTAAAATCACTACGCCAAAAACTGCATTTACAAAAACTCTTTTGTAAACCTAGGATTAACTCTAATCCCGTTGTGGCACACAACCTCAACTGTTGCGACAACTTCAAGTTAACTCTAACTTGAAAACTCTAAGTACCTAATACAATTGCTTCTATAAAAGCTGAAAGGCACAATGTAAAATCACCTACTATACTTGAACTAGAATAAAAGATAGACACTTGGAACTGGTTCTTCTATCTGGTTCAAGTAGCTGCAGGATTGCACGCTTGAATTACACATAAATTGCTTGCAAAATTGCCTTGCTATTTTGCTCTCAATTCACGTTTAACTTCTGCTTATGTGCATTACCTGTAAAAGATAACAACACTAATATTTAAGGAGTTAGTAGTTTGATATTAACTAGGATACTGATGCTACTCTTCCATGGTGGAAGAGTTCTAATTGATCTCATACTCTAACTCTATCCTTTTCCTAAACCGTGTTCTCTTTGTGTAAGGAGTCTTTCTCCTTATCCAATATGCAATATTTTCGATCATGATCGGGAGATATCACTTCTGATAAGTTAGATTTATCTCCTTCACGTGCATCTCATATGTTTGGGTTGATCACAACTGTGCTTCACAAGATGGACCTGGTCCATGTCTGAGTTCTTTTGTTAGTCTTCAAAACTTTACATTTACTTGGGCCAACACCCATTTTTTTTATTATGTTTAAGACGGATGAATTTGAACACATATTTGAATATTTAAGTTTGAAAAATATTAAGAATAAAATGTTTAAAATTGAATACACATATGAATTATAAGATATTGTAATAAGATTTGAGTACTGAATAACCAAGATTATTTATTTTCTCAACATCTGCATAGAAAACTTATCTTTATTTCAAATATTAATTATAAACATAAAATTCAAGTAAAATACTCCTTTCCGTCCTAATTTACATAGTTGTATTTGGCTCGATACAGAGTTTAAGAAAGAAATTAAGACTTTTGAATCTTGTGGTCTAAAGCAAATCATAGATATTTGTATATATTTAAATCATCTCATTGAGGATAAAGTAAAAAGCCTAGAGTTAAATTATTTTTAAGTAGGAAGTATGACATTCTAGTTGGGACAGACCAGAAAGAAAAGTATGACACATAAATTGGGCTAGAGGAAGACAAATTAATCTAATACTTTATCACTAAAATATATTTTTTTTTAAATTATATGGTGGGTGATGATAGTGACAGCTAACAGTGTGGTTGTAGGTGCTGACGCCTGACAGGGAGGTGATAGTTAGTATTGGTGTTGGCTAATGATGGCAGTTGTAAGTAGTAACTAGTGGTGATGGCAGCAGACAGTAATTGTTAACGGTGGTGGTTGATAATAGTAGTTGGTGGTAGCGACTGATAATTGTGGTGGATGATAGTGATAGCTAATACTACTAGTACTAATAGTGATGATTGATGATATATAGTGATGACTGATTGTCGTGATTGGTCGTCGTTGTTGTATTGGTCAAAATTTGTCTTAGACTTAATAACTGTAAATGGGCGTGGTCGAAGATTAAGCCTACGATGTGAGGGAGAGGAGTCGCCTTAAGAAGGATTAGGGCCGAGGTCGAGCAAAGGGTGTATGAAAATAACGGTAGGATAAGTTGGATTAGAAAGAAGGAATATTCCATTGAATATTCCTTCAGTTGTACTTTTTTAGGGTTTTTCAGGAATATCCCCTATAAATAGGAAGAGATTAAGAATAAAAATGGGATCTTCACTTTTTGATAAGAGCAGATTGTAAAGGGTTGACTAGAAAGAAAATACAAAAGCTTGTCTTTTTCACTG